AATACCTGGGTCCTACTCCATTTTCTTGGTCAGACTAGTGCGGACTAGAGAGACCAATACATGATGAACTGATGAAGCCGCTTGGATAAGAGGCGAAACGTCTTCCACAGACAAATACAAGTCCAGTTGCCTTCGATTTAATTTGAGAGAGAGATATTTTAGTGATTTATGTTGAGGTTTGTTTTTGGGATGTTTACCTCTTGCCCCAGCTAGAGGTCTTGTCTCTACTGTGTGTGTATACACACACATAGAATAGAATATATAGTACATCTCATAAGCATATACTGTATATATATATATATATATACATATATATATATATATATATATATATATATATATATTATATGTAAGACAATAGACTTAAGAGACTGCTAATATCGTCTCTCTCCAACGGGCAGATGATACAGTGTCCCATGCCGCAGCCTGAACAGATACAAGGAGTCTGTTGTTCCCCTGCCAATAAAAGTGATTAACTCAGAATGATAGTCTGAGTCTCCACTGCACAAACACACACTGCCTCACATTCCCTTCCTTCCTTTCCTTAGTTCCTGTAATTTATTTATGGTTTGGTAGAAAAATTGGACAAGATTTTTTTCCAAGTTGTGTATCATTAATTGCAATGCATATATTATATATTATGATTCTGGTCTGTACTGTTGGTCATTGTACTTTCCTTTGACTGTTCCTTGTCCTTGCCGCTGTGACTTCTATGACAAATTTCCCTGCAAGGGCAATAAAGTTTATTTGATCTAATCTAATCTTCTCTTGGAATAAGCAGCTGGTGAAGGATAAGTATTCAGAAATATTTTAATTGCTATCAGTAGACTGACACTATGACCGCATACTATTTATTTTACTGTTGAACTAGCTATAAAATCAATCTTGCGTTACAGATAGTTAAGAGCCAGTGGCATTTTGACTTTCAACACTTGTCCTTGGCCTGTGTTTAACAGCAACCTGCCCATTTACCAGCACATCTACACAGGTTTAACACCCTGCTGTGTTATCCACTTTGCCTTTTTAAAGAGACCCTTCTCAATCTCAGTACTGTCATTTCACAATGAGTTTATACTTTTGGGCTAAATCACTGAGCTACAATCATATTATCCATAGCAGTGTTGATCTACACATGTACATGAAAATAATTAATTTGCCAGCCTTGCCAACATTCATTATCATGATTTTCTCATTGACGTATGTTGTGAATTGGCGCTATTCTTACAAAATTGACTTGACTTATTCCAGATTGACAGGTGAGGGGATGACTCCTGCTGTGGTACACCCTTTGAATGCATAATGTTCAAAATCAGTGCAACGTGATTTTATTGGAAAGCATCAATGAAAGTCCCCATCGGCAAAACAAGATTTTAGACTACAACTTCTGTGTCTGCATCTAGAGTGTTTTTAACTGTGAACTTACAAACCATGTACACATCGGACTTAGAAAACTGGCAAATATTTGGACCTGTGTGTGTGTGTGTGTGTGTGTGTGTATGTGTGTAAGTGATTGAGTAAGTGAGTGAGTGACTGAATGAGAGAGAGAGACAGACAGAGAGAGAGAGAAAGAGAGAGCGAGAGCGGAAGTGGAATTGGCAGTAGTCTCATATTAATGACAAAACATTAAAATGCAATGAGTGATGAATGAATCTGTTGCACTCTCAACTTGACCCCTAAACTGGCTGACATTATGTAAATGCTTACTTTGTGTTTATTACTAAAAGATTCAATTTGGCACACAGTGCTACATCTATGCTATTAACACGACTCACTTAATTACCTGCAAGCATGAATAAAAAAGGAGGAAAATTACAATTATTCACAGAAATACAATTTTTATAATACATAGAAATATGCGTGGAAGTTTTATTTACATTTCAGCTCGGTGTGAAATCAACTGTGTAATTTACAAAGTGCTCTTTCACTAATGTCAAAAACGTCAAAGATGGTTTTTGGTTTGGTTAAAATGAATGGAGCCAGAGTTTACTGATATTTAGCAGGTATAGTGTTCTCCATCTCAGTTTAGCATGTTAGCATATTATCATTTGCTAATTAGCACTAAGTATAGAAAGCACACCTGGGGCTGATGGGAATGTGGTTATTTCTGCAGGTGTGATGGGACCAAAGTAATTAAGATTCATCCTCTGAGGACAAGAATTTCATGCAATCCATCCTGTGGTTGTAAAGATATTTTAGACTGGACCAAAGTAGTGCACCAACCAACAGACAAAAAAACTGCCATCCATATAGTATGTATAAATACTACAGCTGAAATATGAACATCGTATTGTAGAGTACATGAATCACCGGGCTTCATTTTACCCTAACGAGATCACTGTAGCTGGGGAGAAGCTTCTGCAGATCAAGACTCGTAATTGTTTTGCTAAAGAGATCTTTGCAGTCGTTGTTGTTGCCCTGAAGGGATGGGAAACAGATTGGCAACAAGTGAGAAAAACGGAGTGATGATAAAAAGTCTCAGCAGAGCCAGCTGTGACAGAGATTTGAGATGGCACTGACTGCCGCAGTTCTTCTCGCTTCATTTTGGAGGCCCTGCTGGTCACAGTGAATCCTCAGAGGAAAACGCACTCATATTCACACAGCCCCAACTGAAAATTCAAAACCCTCCAACGGCTCTCCAGCCAGGGCTCTCCACTGCTCACACATGCTTTTATTCAAATAAAGCTTTATGAATATTCATCTGTCCATGTGACCCAAAATCTACACTTAAAAAGACACTGAAATATGATGTGAACCTGGACGTTCTGTACAGATAATTTGTTATCTAGTGAACAGCTTCAGAGTGAGTGTCACCTCCTTGCTGCTGCTCCCAACTTAGCTCACTGCAGTTTTAAAGGGCTGGTTCAACCAAATTACAAAACATGCTGCCCAGCTGTCATTGAAAACCAGGAGATTGGAGAAAGATTTTGATGTTGAAGATTTTCATTGTAATTTTCCAGCACTTTATGTACACAAATACAATTCCATTCCAAGAGTCTTGAATCTTAGAGGCAGATATCTAAACACCAGGACACACAAAACTGAAACTGACTGCATGACTAGATACGTGAAAGTTAGTGCGAAAACATTTCCTGTAATTTGATTTAATCAACCTGCTAAAAATGAACACAAAAAACCTAACGGAAGAGTATTGTCAAGGTCATGATTCCATCATCTTTCCATCAGCATAATGAATAAATCACAAACCCCTGACTGGATAAAATGCATGAATTATGATGAGGATGAAATGAAAAAAAAAAAAAAAGGCATCAAATGAAAAAAAAAAAAAAAGGCATCAAATGAAAAAAAAAAAAACTTACGAGAACTGAAACAGTTCACAGAGCAATATTGCAGCATAAATGATTGGAATTAGGTAATGTAGGCAGCTGTGATGTTTTTTGAAGCACATGATGCAAAATCCCTTCAGTGACTTAAATAATCATCAAAGCTGTATTCATAGCTGCACAGCTGATGTTTTAAGTCAGGTTTGGACGTCACTCTGTAGACTATAGTGCTCTTACAACCGAGGACATTGAAGTATTTTTTTTATGTGGAAACTGAAATTTCTCTTCAGGGGCATTTACAGTTCGAGGTGACACATGGTGGAGTTTTAAGCATAATTCCATATATTTATGTCAACAAAATGAAATATAAATAATTCAGTATTTACCCTTCAGAGTTTTCAAGAGGCTATGAAATAACATTTAGACCCTCACGTAGGGTATAAAATCTATAGAAAATATAATCAAACATTTCACTGAAAAAAAGACAAATGTTAGAAAAAAAAAACAAACTCTTTTTTGAGTGTCTGGTCAATTTTCTTCTGAGGGGTTGGAGTGAACAACCTCAGTATCTCTAAAATCCTGGAGACAACTCAGACTTTCAGGAAGAAGATCTGTTGAGGCAAATACAGCAGTACACTCATTCTCCTCCCTCACTGCGTTGGACTTGGATTAAAGAATAAAATTCAACACCAGACAAAAGTCTAACCTGACTGGGACGCTGTTGCTGACACGCTAGAAATACTGGCGATGCAAGCATGTTGTGTGGACCTACTGTGAATTATGCAGAGGATTTCCCTGAGTGCAAAGCACTGTCTTACCACCACTCATCACTCCATGTGTGGGTGAGTCCCGATAGGAATTTAACTTGTTTCCTGCAAATAGGTTACAATTCATAGGTGTGTTACGAGATGTCTACTTGACTTATTGCACTGCTTCAAATGCCTGAGGCTAATAGACTTTTCATGATCTTGAGCTGGCCTACTGTGCTATCAGGACAGTGTAAATTTAGCACCACAAATACTGACAAAATCTTGGGAGTAGAGCAACAGCTTCTGCGTTACATTGTGCATTTGAGTGACTGACAGTAATGAGTTTTCCCATATTAACATTTCAGGTTTTCATTAGGTCAGTGCAATTAATATTAGGCCTTTCTTAATCCTAAGGTTTTATACAGCTTTTGCATCCATTATGAGGCAGCAGTTTCTTCAAGTTTTTTTTTTTTTTTTTTTTAAAGAGTATGAAGAATTACAACTGCAAATTAACTTTTCAACAGGGCAAACAGCCAGAAGAAAGGTTTCTTTCTACATCCGAGGCTCAAGGTCTTTGAAAGACCTTTAATAATGGTTAGCAAATCATTGAGTCTGCCAATTAATTATCTGAGACAGTTAATTTTATGTGGAAAAAAAAAAAAAAAAAAAAAAAAGGAAAATGAAAAATTGGTACTGATGTTGATAAAAGCAATTTCCACCAGGATATCTACTAATGTTTTACAAGCATGTCCATGAAATTATGTCAACGTTTTTTTTTTTATTTTCTACTGAAACTCGGAGGTCAGAGTGAGCTTTGAGAAACACATGGTTTTGGCCAAAGACATAATGAGGGTGTTTAGTGAAGTTCAAAGTAAAGGTAAGACGTTTGTCTGCCTGAGCACCAGTTGGACCCTTTTTAAAAACTACATGTTGGGAGTAATTAAAAACCTTTATGCTTTAGAGCGCTTTAATGCTGCTGCCTTTTAGCCGCACCACTCAGTGTAAGTACTGTATTTTCACCATTTTAGTCTGAGCCACAATTAACCTTAAACAGCCGCATAATTTATACATTTGGGTACTGGTTTAGACTAAATCCTATAATAGGCCTCCAGTGGAGTAGAAAAGCAAAACATTCTCAAATATTCATACTTTTATGTCAAAATAGACCACATTGTACAGCATTGGTGATACTTGTTGAAAGATACAGTATCTCCCAGAGAAGAAGATATGCTCCTCTGTAAGGTTTTAGATTACTATGATATAAATATACACATATTATATTCATATTTCCAAAATAACAATAACCTCAACATGCAACTCAGTCATGAAAAGACCCACATATTAAGTCATGGACACACACTTGCATGGTCCCTCTTAATAACAGCTCAACATTAACAATACAAAAACATTTACAACTGTGAAGGACAACATTTCAAACCCATAAGTCCGTAATACACAATCTCTCTTTGTCTCACACACACACTGTACATACACACATACTCATACAGGCTAGTCATGTGCTTAAAATTATTATAACTCCGTCTTAGCGCTCTTATTAAGTCCACCTGAAGGTTTTTCCCTCAAGTCGTCCTTAAGCCATTTGTTGAAAACCGCAATGGGGTCGATGTTCCAATGTTTATGGAAAGAGATGGGCACCTGGTGAGCTAAGAAGTCTCTGGCATAGTCCTCCGGGCGCGCCTGAAAGGTAAGATTAAGTACAGTAATTTATATTTGGAAGCAGTCACAAGAGGCTGCGTACTAATGCTGCAGAGAGCAACAGTGAAGGCATGAAAGTGCAAGTTTGTGTTCAAACACACACTGCATACTGAAAACTGAGCAGCCCCTGCACTTATGTTTATTTTAGTGGCTGATTCTTTGACATAGTGACCTTTAATTTGGTTTAAACGAATGCAATGGTTTGTCAACTCTATAGAAAATTGGTGCTTTATTATAGGCCTGCACTCATGGTGCACTCACACAGCTGATTTTACCTATCTCTGCAAATCAGCTTTTTACTTTCACGACGGTGCAGGGGTGTATACGGGCTACATTTGATTGACACCTTGCTCACTCCTCTGTGGTTTTGTTTGGGTGGGACTAATTACACCCAGACATTTTGACATGGCAAGGTAATAAAAGCACAGGTGCAAGTAATAAAATTAAAGATCGGCTAAATTCCATTTAGCTGCTTCAGTTTCAGGATGCTGCTATTATGCATGCAGGCTCTCACGCTTGAATTACCATAATCACCCATTTCTGATCTGTAAATACTGTTCACATCAGCGTCCCAGTTATAACTAAGAACGGGAAACTCAGATTGCTCTGAAAGCTGCAAAACATTCGACTTAACAATATGGTGGGTTAATAAATATTCTCGTATCAAAATTGTTGTTTAATTTCATTAAACACAAATTTAATGGATATACACAGTATATATGCACAGTATTTTTTTAACACCACACAACCAACACTGCAACCGCCTTGACATGTCCGATGATCTTATGATGTGAACATGATGCTGCATTCATGATATGTTGGCAGAACGGGGAAACCTGACGTTATTCCGAAATTAACCAGACTGCTAGCTTTGTATTCACCATAATACCAGACGGCTAACATATTTGTAAGGATGCAAATAAATAATATATAACTACTACAATTTAAATGAGTTGAATTTACCATATTATTGTTAGTATTGCCTTTTACTTAGATTTAAATGCCAGTTTTGAGGTCATTTTTCCTCTGTTGGCAGGAAATTGTTGCCGTCATAAATTCTTGATATTTAAAACTGAGAATTACAAGCACGCAGAACTCGTAATTACAGACTCTTAGAAATAACTTTAACACAGCTTCAGTATAATCAGCAAGAAAAACTGAAAACACCTGTGTGGGTGTGCAGGTTGTCAACTAAGAATAAGGTGAGGTGTCTATCTGTCTCTTGATAATGAGTCTGTAAAACCTGAGAAGAAACTTGACTTTCTTTGCACAGTTTAATTGTTAAAAGGCATCATGTATCTCGCTGTACAATTTCCCCTATGACTGAACGGGTGCTGGGGAAATTTTAAACGATGATTGTTTACCAAGCCAAAGAATTTCATTCTCAGCCCCACGTACAGATACAGAGAGAGAGAGAGAGAGACACACACATAAAGAATGTACTGGAAGGGTGTGAATACAACCTGATGGAAGAGTGGACTGTGTGTGACAGGAAGTCCAAGAGCATTGAGGCACATTCCCAGCACCATGTCATCTGGCGCATCATTGCTGTAGCACTTGCAGCCGCTGTCAAGAAGTTGGACCACAGCCTCCCTGCTGAACACCATACTGCAGCAACACACACGCACAAATAAACACATAACACAGCCGATTCAGTTGCACTGTAAATGATTAGTTCATTAGCACGTGTTGAAAACAGGCCTAATAATATGCATGTCTCTCACTTATCATCCTAACAGCCATCATGCTTACTTTATTCATCTGCTGAGAGGGTGACAGTGTAAGTAGTGAAACTGCAAATCAAACTGAGAGGGAGATGCGGTTTTTCTGTGAATCGGCTCTGCACAACAATGATGTGACAACTCTTTGAAAAGAAAAGCAATTACACATGAAAAAACAAATCTTAGGCTGCCAGGAAAATCGCTCATTGCCACTCAAAACAGTTTTTAGGAGATATCACTTTTGGGAAAACTGGCAGTTGCAGTGTTGTAAAGTGACACAGCAACTGAAGTGTCCCTAAATAGAGCTTCTCACACGGCTCACTCACAGCTCGAGATTTATCTACAGTGTAGCTGACAGCTGACATATAACTTTGCTTCTTGTCCAATTTCACTTACATGCAATAAGAGGACTTTAAAATATGGATGTTATAGAAATGTGATAATTTTTCTCCTATGTTTTCTTGCAGTAACCATCAGTTTCTATCTCTGTCTCGTCTTATCATCTAATGACTGTTTACTGCATTTTTCAGATATTATATTCAGTATGTTTACTGTAATGCAGTCTGCAAGATTTCCCTCAAAGGAGTAACTCACTTTTAAACTTTACTGAAAAGGTTTATCTGTAAATTTCAGATTACAGGTTTTTCATTACACATTTTACAGTCCCTCTGCAGCATCTGCATCTTTCAGCATTACTTCCCTGAGCATCTGAGCTGTGAAACTCACCCTCCACCTCCCGTGATGTAGCTGTAGCCGCCTTGGCTCAGGCCGTAGCCGTACCTCTCCCCGAGACACACCGGTTCAGAGGGGTCGTAACAGCTCAGCAAGACGCGCAGTCTGGGGAGGCTGCGGGAAGTGCAGATCAAGCTCATCACACACTCATCACACATATACAGTATGGATGGGCCTACACATGTATGAAAATGTCCATTCAGAAGGTGAAATAACTGCTCTCCCTCAGGCGCTGTTACACATCCAGAGGGCTCCACATGAAGGGGAAACCTGACGGATATAAAGTGAAGCCAGCTGGACTTGAATTCATATACTGAGCTTTTCAGATGTTTGACAGGATGGTTATATCTCTGGAATGTATTTTCCCCAAATGAATTCATTCTAAGTGTTTCTCTCTTTCACTATACTAACTTTTTTTTTTTTTTTCTTATGGCTGTGAGACAGAATCTTTTATCAATAAATGTCAATCAAACGATGAGGAAAAATGAAACCATGGCATGTAAAGATCAAAACAGTGTCTCAGATGAAAAAAGGAAGAGAAATACCATGTTTAATAACCACTTCCAGATCACAAAAATATACCTGATGAGTGTGTCATCGTCCACAACAAGGAGCCACCTGGTGTTCGGGACAGTGCTGCTTAGAAATCTTTGAAGGATCGCAAATGTTTTCCCGCAGTGGCCTGTAAATTGAGACATGCTGTCAATAGAGTGGCCGGTACGACTTAATCACATATTGACCATGTGCTGTATTCTGCTTTATAAAGATAAACGACCCTGTTACTGAAAGAAAAACACAACTTGGCATAAGCGGGAATTTACATGCACACACACGAGTGCATACGAGGGTTAACGGCTCGGCCACAAAAAGAAAAAATTACGGTCATAAATTAAACTACCAGTAAAGGATTTGAAAGGTGGCAGGCTAACCAACAGTTACAATTTTACTCAGGCGAGGATGTTCAGAGAATCATGAATGGCTCCTCTGGTGATCCAGCCTGAACAATGTTAATATCGTGCTAAATATAGCCAATAGTAATCTATTCAAATAATATGGAAAATATTGGAACAAACTAGTTATTATTAATTAGACTCTTATTCTCTAGATAGGAGCCGTTGAGGAGGTAATAAAAAAGCAGGACTGCTGTGCTCAGACCTAACGGGGGTGCAGCACTTTGCATTTGCCACTTTTATTTATAATTCAGCATTTACTTGACAGCCATGTGGACGATAACTTACAAAGTCTGAACAAGCCTCTTTTCTGCATTCTGCTCAAGGACGCCTCAAATGCACATGTGGCTATGGGCGGGCAAATCAGCTACTTCAGCAATCAAATGAGTGACCTTATGTTTAAGGGGTTGCTGTTTTAAATAACTTTGCCACTTTGTGACATTTGAATTGTGGTAGCATTAAAGAAAAATCTTTTTGGCTTTTAAAGCCTGACGATGTGTCTTCTAGAGCTTTGTGAGCAAAAAGAAAGCTGTTGTCTACAATCTGACATCTCAAAAGACATAATAAGGTATGCTTGGCATGATGGGCTGGGAAAATCAAACTTTTACTCTGGCATGTTTGACATGACCGCCAGATGGAACAAAATGTTCTGCCAACTCCTGAAAACAAAAAGAGTGATGTGGAGGTACACAACAAACACAAGTAACCCAAAGAAACGTACCCATCAGAATCCAAATATCTGCACACCATCATGGCTGAGAGCTGAGACATGGAAATCCCTGGTGGCAAGCATAACAAAGAATTCTGAGGCCCTACTGTTTTATTTATAAGGAACCCAAGGTGTGTTTTCTCCTTGTATCTGAATATAGAATAAGAAAGGACACCTTGAACTGCTGACGGGAATAAAATCCAAAAACGCATTTTTAGAGGTAGGTCTCCAGAAAAACCCGGTAAACTTATTTCTGGTTGAAGGAGGTTAGTGAGTGGCATTCAGGGGTCCGGAGAGATGCAGTAGCTCCCCCCCTGGTTATGTGTCATGAAGTATCTATCATAAATATATCAGTATAAAAGCGAGAACCGCTGCTGCTTCCTTCACTTGAGCATAACGCTACCATACTGCCACTCCGACACATTTGACCATGAATAGTTTATTTACTTGTTAAAGTTCCTATGCCGTGTTCCCATTTCAAGGTCTTGCATCAACCTTCCTCTCACTTGCTCAGACTGTCTAAAATTTTTAACCTCAGACTGGTGAGTGCATTTTTCCTTTTTCAAAATATGTATACTGTAAGGGTTGTGTTTTCTTCATCAGACGTTTCTTTGTGACTACAGAATGTGGCATGGTTACCCCGACAGCTTTAAATAAGGTCAAACCCGGTTCTACAGGCAACCACGATTGGATAAAATTTTGAACTATGCCTTTTAAATATACAAAAATACTGTATTTTTATAGTTAGATGAATTAATGATGTGGTTTTTTGAGTTGGCTCTGGAAGCATAGACAAATCAAAGGGATCAGTGGAGTAGACTGAAGGTAGAGAAGAAAAAATAAAGTTGGTGACTACAGATTCCTGACATTTTGATGCTTGTTGACTGTTGATGAACTCCCAGGCTGCTTGCGGCGATCATTAGCATAGACCTCGAGGCCTTGGGAAAGGAGGAGAAAGACTGAAACAAAAGAACTGGAATTAAATTATGTACGTCCCGACTGCAACTCGATTTTTAGTCTGATAACTGACGGATAAACTACTAACTATTTTTCATTTGACCTCAATCATATATCATTTCATTGCATGTTTATCTGATAAATGTGGTGGCTTGAACTCCTGACCGACTCCCCTGCACATTTCTCTTTAAAAGATAAAGTAATACTCATTTTATTTTCCTGTTGTCATGGTGTTTCAAGGCCCAATCGCTTTTAAAATCACCCTTTTCTTAGACTCACTCACACCACTGTAAAATCCAATCCACTGTACCTACTCCAGTATGTAAATGGTATAATGAGTTCTGTTTGATTGACATTGTGCATAGTTATTAAACTGACAGTAGCTTCAGTTTTTGGCTGCTTACCAAACTAGAAAAAATCTTCCTGCCTTGATGATGGACTGTGGAAAGCTGCCAAAGTTTCAACACTCAACTGTTGTCTCCAAAAAGCAAAAAGTAAAAAAAAAATAAATAAATAAATAAAAAAAAAAAAACACTTGCATGCAGTGGAAAGAGAAATTAAAAGGGAAGGAGATACGCTCTCCTGGAATGAGAACGACTTAGCCAACACTGGCTTCAAAAAATACCAACACAAACTGTTTGAGAGGAGCAGAGCTGTGGCTTTTTCTGGAGTAACATGTCAAACTCAGAGGTAAATAGTCCCATTGGGTTAGTTATGCAAGTCAGCAGCCCGACAACTTCCACTTGAAATTTTTTTGTCATGGTGTAACCAGCTGCAAACTGAGAATGTGAGCACACATCATCTCTTGCCCTGATCCTGGCACAATATCTGCTGTACAGAAAGAGTATATCACAACAAACTTAATTAATGCTGCTCTGCAACTGAACACATGACCATTCAACATATCTTTCAGGTCAAAAAAGGTCCTCTACACTAAGCAGCACTTACTGCACATCCACGCTGCAATTAAGATACCTGCTGATCTATCTCTTTACCTACCCACTAAATCTGCAACAATTAGTTGATTAATCTATTGATTTCTTGAGCAAAAATGCAAAACGTTCACTGGTTCCACCTGCTCAAATGTGAGGATTTGATGCTTGTCCTTTCCTTATACGATAGTGAACAGTCTTTGGGTTTTGGACTGATGGCTGAGTGATTTGAATACATCTTCTAGGACTGTAGGAAATGTCCTTCAGGCATTTCTTAAAATTATCTTCTGACATTTCATACACTAAATGATTAATTGAGAAAAGAATCAAAAGACTTATCACTAGTTTAACTAATTGTTAATTGCAGTCCTATTTCCAACCGAATCTAATTACCTGTAATCTAATGTAATCTGCTTGAACAGCTCTGCAGTAATCCTTATGAAGATTATAATGTGTCTTTTTTTTTTTGACGTCACTGTTGCATGTATAGTGACGATGTACTGGACTCTATTATGCTCAGCGGTGTCAAGTATTTAGTGACTGTTGTGTGTAAAAGCAGGTGGCCTGGGCATTAGAAACACCTCTCAGTATATAATTCCATCTATAATGCAATCAGTTAATCAATATGATGAACCTCTGGTAGGGCATTGCTGGTCAGTCCCCGGTCTGTTCCAACCCAAGGAGACGAGGCCTGTGCTGTCAGGGTCCCTAAGACTTTGGAACAACTTGCCAGAGGAGATCAGACTTGCAGAGTCAGCCCCGGTTTTATCTCACGTCTTATAAAAAAGCTTTTATTGAGTGATGTCTATTCAGTTTCATTTATATTTTACTTTACTTGCTTGTATGTTTTATATTGACTGGTGTGAAGCACTTTGTTACTTGTATTGAAAAGTGCTAAACAAATAAAATCTTATTATGAAAGTCTTATATTATAAATATATAGTAGCAGGAAGAGTTCAGATCCTTATTTACACTAATGGGCTCTTATAGGTGTAAATTCAACAAGGCTTTTTAAAACTGCCCCTGCACATTATTTCTGCCCTGTCAACCCAACGCAGTCATTCACTGTATGAGACAATCAGGTCGCAACGTTTAATAATTTCTCTGGGATTTTAAAGTTCCTAAAATCAATGTGTGTTTTTTTTTTAAGAACTTAAAGCAGGTTGAAGCAGTGGTGCATTATAAGCTGCAGAGTGACACTATAGTGGCCCAGGGGACTGTACTGTCACCTTCCTTTTTACTCTTCACACATCAGACCTCCTTCAACTTCACACTAGTTGCACCATCTCAAGTGATGCATCAGTGAGAGCAGAATATACATAGGTAATTGTAATGATGAAAGCTGCACACATATTTGCATGGTTACCGGTGTCATATTTTACAATACAGAAGGAAAATAAGAGGCTGGATGAAAAACAGATGTATGGTATCGCTCTTCACAGACCTACAATATCTAGCCACAGTGTGAAACTCTTCCATCACTGCTGATTACTGCCGCTATAAAATCATTCTGCATGTGGCATCAAGATTTGTTTTTGTTAGCGATGTAAAAGTTTTGAAATCAGTTTGAAATTGGATTTGTTTAGCTGGGGTGAGACTCGTCTTCAGAAATATGATCAAACTTTCTGTTTCCCTGTGGATATTTCCTGTTCACATCTCAAAAAACCAAAAAAAACCCCAAAACAAACAAAAAAAAACAAACATCCGATGTGATGACTCCAGTGAGGATACAGTATGCCCGAAATCTGAGAGCGCTGACAGTTGGCGCAAGTACAACTGTCTGTGTTGCAGTGTCAGGCAGGCTAAGGAGCAGGTAGTGGTTTTCTTGGAGAGCGAGAAGCCGCTGAGACCTGTCATTATCCACAACGAGGAGGTGGAGATGAGGCGGCCCTCAAATATGGAGGTTGCATATCAACAACGGACTGGATGGATAACAGGGTAACTTTACAAGAAAAAGTTGAATTTTATTCTTGATGAGGCTCAGCTCTGCAAACAGACGAGTTCACATGTTCCAGCACGTAGCCGTTAGCAGTTTGCATCCTTCCCTGCCACCATGCAAATAGATTGCAAAATACACCCTTGTTAAAGAGCTGAGCTGCCTGGACACAGTAGCTGAAGGGAGACTGGAGACTAAACCACACTCTTTCGAACAACAACCCTCACCCTTTCCATAGTGGTGGGCTGAAAGTGGCTACAACTGATGCATCATCCCATCAAGGTGCACCAGGAGAGGTCGTAGGTGCTGTTTTGTGCTGACAGCCATCAGACTGTAAAATAATTTGCGCCCAAATGGCCCCTGCCTCAGGCGACCAGGAGGGCGCTGAAGCAGAGAGCTTGAGCTGTCTTTACAGAAGACCCTGGATTGCTTTGAGCTTTCCTATTCACTATGTACATCTTCTTGTACTGTTTCTGATTATTATACATTATGCACTCCCATAAATTCTATATGAACTGGCACATGATGTGTTTTCTGTGCCTGTTACATCTGGCCTTGTTCTGTCCTGAATCTATCATGGCGCTGTTTACTGATGCAATAAGCCGATTTCTTATGAGGAAGTTTGGAAATTTTTTTAAATCAAACTTTGATGAATTGATGAATTATCCAGTCGAATTTTAAATTTGAGAAGCGTCTGTTGGAATTATGAATGAAATGGCCACAGCGCTTCATCAGAGAATCTCACCAGCAAAAATAATGGATCTTCCAGACACGTTCACTCCCAAGTGACAGAAGCTGCACTCAGAATCTTGCCTGGAGGATGAAACCTGACATGTGGAAAGATTTATGTGATAAAGAGGTGACTATGCATATTGGAATAACAATAATAATATGAATCACTTCTGGGCACAATAAATTACATCCATCCATCCATCCATCCATCTGTTTCTTATCTGGTTCAGAGTGTCATTGGAAATAGTCCTGCATCATTTTACCCAACAACATCATCCTTCAGCTCCTCCCATCATCCTGCAGCTTCTCCCTGGGGAGGAGCTAGAGGATGTTGTTGAGTTAAAGCTTCTCCTGAGGGACTGCCAAACCCTGAGACCAGCTGGGGGATGTGTTTTCCTTCTAGAGAAGTCTAGTCTGCCACAGGGTCTCCTTCCAGTCAGCCATGCCCTGCACACCTCCAGAGGGAGCCACCTTTGGGCTTTGCTACCATGTGCAGCCTCTTAATGCAGAGGAGCAGTGGTTGATAACCTCTCAACTCTTGATTGGCTCTGGGATTTCACCTTACATTTGTAATGTAAATGTAAGACCATCATACTGTATGATATATGTTTTTTTTTGTGTCTGCACTGTGACATGAAATCAAAATATCAAAGATATTTTCTGCATCTTTTTAAAAATATTTCCTCAAACCTCAACAATTCCAATATCTTTGATAATATTAGGATCTTGTGAAATGTACTTTTTGGCTTTCTTGACCACCTACACCTACTGAGAGCGACTTGCTCGAGTGTCTGAAGACTGCCTGGCAACCATGCAGTGATGATGAGAAATTCTCTGCTCCTGGCCAAGAAATTGTCTTGCCCCATAACCTCTATGTGAAAAACCAGTGAGCTTTAGAGGTCTCAGTAGGTGGATGTTGTTACCTTTGGGCAGGCCAGGCTAACTTGTTCCCCCTGTTTCCAGTCTTACCGGCTGCTGGCTATAGCTACATATTTAACAAACAGATATAAGACTGGTATTTTATTTTCTCATGTCTCTCTCCCTAGCCTTCCAAAATGGCAAACTATTCCTTTAAACATGGTCCTTCAATAGTAGGTTGTAAATATGGGCCTGATAGTAAGTCCGACAAAGTTCAAAAGGATAAAGTGTCCTGTGGTTAAAAATAAACTACCACGAGTGGTGAAATGAACTAAAGCTCTTAGACAAACACATATCTGCAGCAAACATTTTGGTTATTAAATGCTGACAGTCCAACAGTCTGTGGACATCAGCAGGGGACAGTGGCCAGGCACGTGGTGAGTAAATGTGCAGTTTATAGCTTTCAGTCAGAGGAAAGCTCCTTAGATTCAAGAACAAACAGGAGACATAGATCCATTCATCACCTCAGAATTATTCTGAAAAAAATGTAAATACAAAGAGAGCATGCAATAGTTTTTAAAAATCTCAACATGATTAACTAAAAACTCCATCATAACTGACTAAAATCTGTTTTTTTTACACAAGGGGCTGAAGAACAAAATATCTAGTTGTTGAGGAAAACACACTCTCAGGGACAAAAAGCTGAAATTCACTGCTGACTCCCATTCGCTTTAGTTCCAATTCTCCTGCAATGTCAGTTCGAATCACCGGCACCATCCCCCTCACAGGGTGTCAGGTTATAGAAATTTCAACTTTATTTTGCCATTTCATTTTTCATGTACCTCCGTATATGCAGCTTACCCTGCACCATTACAGAGGTCTCACTGAATCTGTTTGGTGCCACTGAGGCCAGGAGGAGCTCTTACCTCTTTCAGTATTGGGTACTCCCAAATTAATGGTTGGTATCGAAGGATCAGCATGGTCACTGTAGTACTCTAAAAATAAGGCATCTTTTTCCCAAGTCTTCTTTATCACTGGAACTAGAGCAAAGGGGAAAAAAAAAAAAAAAAAAAAAAAAAAAAAAATCAATGTAGCGTTCACAAACTTTCACAACAAGCAGACCTCTGGATCTTTGTGGTGCACACACTGAGCTAATGCTTATTTCATATTTATTTCAATCCATGTTTTCTCTGATGTTTCTGACTGTTTTTGGTAAAATATTCTATGAAAGACCACTGAATGTATTAAGCAATAAATCATCAGTAGAGACAAGAGGGAAAATAGATTAAATTTAAAGAGGACAGTGAGATGAAATGCTGCGCTGCCTTTAATCCTTCCCCTCTGTTGAATGTCAGGATTACTTCAAAACTAGATCGTATGCGCAGATGCTATTCTGCTCCGTTTTCACAGGGGAAAACACCCCTCATTATTTCAGCCTGACAGAAGTTGAATCCTTGGCACTTAATGTTTGATTAGTCTTATCATTGTTTATATTAAATTAAACCATAAAACCTTTAAAGTCTAACCTCTAAAACAAAGAGAATTTTCTTTAGTTTCAGCAGTTAAATTTCAGAGCTATGAATCCTGGAAGATCTCTCCTCTCAAGAAAACATTTTCTAACTTCTAGTTTTTATCAGGTTGTGCTCGATGCCCTGAAACATACTGGGACCTGTTGACCTCTGTTGAAAAAGAGCAGAGAGGTAGCGGAGATGAGCAGATTACTGTGTCTGTATGTACTTTTTCCCTTCTATTTATACACACCGTCTTTAAGCTGAGCTATGTACTACATTCAGCGCTCATCTGCCACTGACCTAATTCCTGACATCATACTCAAATGGCATCAAATTTTCCTATAGATTGGGATCTGACTGACGAGATCTGGAGATGTGATGAGTTTCTGAGTTGTCGATGCGAGAGCACACGGGTGCTGAGGAATACGGAATACTCAGAGATGTGCAGCAGCGGCGGCTCGAGGCTGTGTTCAACTCTCATAAATCAACTAAAGTGAATCAGAGAGGCATATTTAACACTGAAAGAATGTACCAAGAACAAAAAGTTGACTTGGCTGACCATCGCTGCCTCTTAAGGTCATCAGAAGCTGGAAACCATACTGAGCTCCAAATATAACACTGCTATTTTACTTTGCCACAGTTCAGTTGCATTCATGTAAACCAAATTAAACAAGAAAAACCTGCCTTCCTCCAGTACATAATCAATACATTTTGAAGAGCCGTCTGAAAACTGACAAGAATCTAACAAAATACAACCCACATGCTCTCTGAAAATGACAGCTGTGGCTTCAGTGTTTGTCAAATGGGTTTTCACTAACCACTTATCAAACATGTATGTAAAACTTTATATCAGGCTACTGGTAAAGCAAACAATACATGTACGTTACCAGATGATGGGAGATACTTGGAATGTCTTTTTTTTTTTTTTTTTTTTTTTTAAATGTGTGGAAAGTGAAGAGATGAATGAATGTACTTAGTGTTTTCAGAAACAAACTGCTATATGTATAATACAGAAGACTGAAAAATAAATAAGTAGATAAATGAAATAAACCAATATGCCATCAAGTGCACCAAGAATAATATTAAAAATGAATACAGACATTAATTAATACAATGTGACTGATGTTACTGTTTTAATTTGCTTCTATATTAATTTACCTCTGTATTAATTTCCCTATTTATTTATTTATTTATTTTCCCATCAAAATTGCCATTTTATTTCTTTATTGTTTATTTTCTTATTTATTCTTTATCAATCCACTTATTACTTCCCATTTCTTGATGCATTTCTGTTCCATTACACAAATGAGTGGGCTGTTATTCCAAGTGTGTCATGGGTTCAACTTTTCACATATTGGTTGATCGACATCAGAATCGGAACGCATAGATCGACTGTCCATGCCTCGCTCCCCTGACCTGTGGCTGGGCTCACAACAGATATAGGTGCCTCCAGCCAGGATTGTTAGACAGCTGAAGCACTTAGCTAATTTGCCTGAAAACAACACCAGGTGTAAACCTAGTGCTTGGCCGGACCGTGTATGGGTGTGAACCGTGTGCCTACGCCTCTTGTTGCAGGCAGTCGGGCAGTCACCCAGCTTCCCAGCTGCTCGGGAGTTGCAGGAAAGCGGAGTTGCACTTCTGATGTGGCATGTCGAAGGTAAACTTAAGTTCAGAGCTACTGTAAATCTGCTCATTATAGTGTTTAGACCAAAGATATTACTGTTACCAAGGGTTGTCATCTCATACGGCAGTCACGTACCACATCAGTGATATACTGAGCGGGGCCTTTATTTACCTAAACTTCTGAAGCCCTGTTGAGGGCTGTACTGCATTTCAACACTCCACCACACAACACTACATTATACTACAGCATGGTGAAATGGAGCAGAGGAACAGCACTCCTCAATTTTTGTGTTATAAGCTATTTGTGGTTTCTTTTATTTCGTTTCAGCTCTCAAACCAAATACATAAATGCACATTTTCATGCTGATATCTTTGTTTTTGTACTATATAATCATTACAGATAATGAATATTAAAGAGCCTTAACAGTTACTGACACAGCAAATTAAATGTGATGTTCTTTCATGTCTTTTGCTTATTGATCTGAGCTAACCTTTGATATATAAATTTAATATTCATTTTGATCCTGTCTGCATTTGAAACTGATAATGGCAGCTTGGCAAAGGAAATGGTAATTAAGGTAATTAGTGCAATTACTTTTTGAGCGACACCCTCTGAATGTAGCGCACAATTTGTCTGCTCCCTCTCATATGAATCTGCAATTTGATCTATTGACTGAACCTGCAACGTTTTCATTAGGTAACAAAAGAGGCAGATTTACTGCAGAAAGCTTCATGTCAGGCAGAACTTGCAAATTAATTGCTAAACATTAGCAAGTGATTTCTTAACATCTGCGGGATTGTTGCGTGATGATTTCAGGCATTAAGGGAGGCAGGCAGTTGAGTACTTCAGGGTATTTTCTTTAGCCTCAGCACTATTTAATAATTTCAGAATTGATGGTGGAATCGTTTTATGAATGAATTTATCACGATTATGAGGAACAGCTCTTACACAGTCAAACAAATGTAAAACAAATCCATAATGACACGACAACAGGACGTTGCCGTTTACAGGGATACTGCGGGTCTTTGGCGTAGTCTGTGAGGGTGGGAGTGTGACTCACCTCTTTCACTGTGAAACTTCCTACACGTTTTCACAGCAACAAATATATCTTCGTTATTTACAGGCTCCCCCTTTGATGACAATAAGAGAGATGAATCAAAGAAATGCTCGCATGAACAAACCACATAAATGACACATGATTAAAACAGGATCTATACTATATGCAGTCAAATCGCTGAAATTCAGTTTTTTCAGGCTATGTCTAGTGTTCAAGTGATCAGTGGGAGTTGCTATCTTCAGAGTGAAATTAGAACCGGATATTTCTGTAAATTGTCAGAGGTCATTTGGCCCTCTGGTCGTCTTAGGCTTTCCCTCTGAATGTAGAGACACGCAGCAGCTGATAACGCAGCGCATGTTAAAATTTCAGGATTTATGCTTAATGAGGTGAACATTTGAGGCATATAAAAGGCCTCGAAAAAGAAAAGGATGAGCAACATGTGAGATAAGGAAGGGTGATAAATTGAAGGAAAGTGAACTAAACTAAACATGGAACATCTTTGTCTGTGTGTCTCTCTGTTCTTTGTAACCACATGCAACCCACAATAATGGAAGATGCTGGAGTGTTTTTTTTCTTGCGTTCAAACAGTCACAAAAAAAAAAACTGACTAAATCAACAGCGGACAGAATACATTAAAAATGTACGCTACATTATAAAATGTTCTCAGCTGCTGCACAAACGTCTTAGTTTTTATAAACAGAATGTGATGTACAGTAATAATCATGATCACACCTGAGCACAAACAAAACAAGAGCTGGAAATATATGGAAATATAATAAACAGTTTAGGGCTGCAACTAATGATTATGTTCATTATTTTTTATAGAAATTTGTAAAGATATAAAAACAGGAAACAAGCACATTTTCACATTTGATCTTTTCTGATTGCCACATTTGAGAATCTGGAATTTTTTTTATAGAATTTTTTGCTTTATAAATAACTTCAACACTTAATCCATTATCAAAACTGTTGTCAATTTATTTTTCACCTCGGCGTTTCAGTGGTAGCAAAACCAACAAATGTTAACTATACAACAGACTGTCATCTACAGAGCTGTCACAGAGACGGGTAGCATCTGCTGTGTGTGTAAAAACAGATGCTTCGTTGACCCAAGACCCAAAAAACTTCACGAAGGCTCTAAACACATTCTTATTTTAGTCCTCACTGCTCACTTCCAGTTTCCTCCTCAGACCTCATTGTCTCCGATTTACTCATTTTTGAAAATGACTCACGTCTAATGCAGTCTGCACAGGCTCCTGTCCTGAAATATCCGGCCCGCACGGCTGAACAACGGCTCAATAAGTGTAGTTATTGCCTAAAATAAAAAGGACATGTTTTGCTGCTGCAGCCACTTTGTTGATTGCTGTCCTTTGCCTCCTTGAATCTGCCTCTAGAGGCACTTGATTCTTTGTTGACACTGCAGCCAAGTGTGGCTGTGGCCCCACTTGGCAATTTGTCTTGCAACTGTTTCGAACACAGGCCGATTACGATACGTCCCCTCTTGTTTTGTGTGAATGGAAACTTCTCCCTGAATACTTATTAAACCTGTGACCTTCATGTTCCTCCGCTGGCTGCTCCAGTCGTTGCCCTGTTTTCTGGTCAAATGAATGCAGTTTTATGAGGATAGTGATTTCCACTGAGAGGGAGCTAAAAACCACATGAATATAAATCTGACAGCTCAGGCTGCAGCAAACATGTATCAGACTCTAGACCACATATGCACATGCAGTATGAGATTTGAATCACAAATGAAAAGATCAGAAGGAAAATTCGGTCAAAAATAGGAGGGGAGGGGGGAAAATAAGAATTGGGACACTTTCAGCTGCATCCCAAATTCAACTCACCTCACCCACTCTCAAAAAAACTACAGTCACACACACATCCAGGCAAACACTGTTACCTCTTCCCAACATTAATGCTCATTTTAGAGCAGGCTAAAGGATGGCTGACCCCTGCAATCCTACACACCAATATAATCAAAAAATAATAATGTGCTGTAAAGTGTAAGCAAACATGACTTAACTTGACTAAAATTGTTCTTTATAAGACACTGAAAGTGCTGACCTTACTTACTTTATGACCCAGTCAAGATGTTTTTTTCCTCAACCACACCCACTGCCCAGCTCCCACTCAATACAACACAACATAAAGTATGAGCGTAAATCAATGCCAATTATTCTCTGCAGGATTTTTCTAAGAAATGTCCTGCCTCTTAGACATTTCTCCCTCCCACATCAAGCTGACTGTAATATATTTTCATTCTATTATTTGGTAGGTTACACATGAAATCAATTATTTAACAGCTGACAAACAAAACTCATTTTGTAAAAAAGCCTTCGTTACACAATGACGGTTTCCATGCATTGTTATAATTGATGTTTAGCATCAGTTCCTGACTATTTGAACAGTGTTACTCCTCTTGGTTTCATTTAATTAACCACATTTCTAACACCTGGTCTCCCAGCACATTAACCGCTGCAACTGTGAAGCTTATTTATATTTACACAGATATCTTTTAGGCATTCAAATTCATCACAAAATATGCAGGACCGTTAATGTTTGTTATGACAAATGCAACAATTATTCTTATATAACGAAAGTCTGCAGAGCATGTGTGTAAAATGAGAAAAACAAAAGAGATAAAGAGGATAAAGAAGAAAGGGTAACTGAAAGCTGGTTAGTCACCAGCTGTGGACGACATAAATTTGCATGTGGATTTTGATTTCCTTCCAGATGTGATGAAAGGATGAATCTAACAGAAGAGGACGAGCCAAAGTCAGAATCAGAGGAAGGGATGAGCCTGTAAAACTAATGTGTTTTAATGTTAGTATTAGGAGACACCCAGTCAGTGCTGGAGATGGATAAACCCCAACACATTTTGATAAATGGAAAAAAAGTCAGAAATAACAGATGTGCAACTGGACGCAAAAGGATGTTGCTTAGCAACGGAATGGTATTTCTTTCTTGGCGCACAACTAAATTAAATTTAGCAAGACAAACCCAACACTTCTGTCTTTTTAGGTTAATGCACAGTGTTGAACTGAAAGGTGTATAAAGGCAGTAACATTTAAGGCTGTACTGCTTGGTGCTGCTGTGATGCGGCCATGGACACAAAGGCCATAGCACTAACCTTCTCAAAATAGCTATTTTCTGATCACCCTCTGTTTTATTGTGTTGTTTAATTCTGTGCCTTTTCCATTTCCTGGGAATTGAGAGCAATCAAAGTGATGTGGAAGTAGAGCAGATACTCACACACAGTGGAGGCTCGCTGCTCAGGGTGGTGGCACAGGGCTGGGCCTGAGGAGAGTCCTCTGGCTCAGTGCACAGCTCAGGAACAGCAGTAAGATGTGGACCCTTCCCATTGTCCCAGATATACAAGGCAACCTGTAAAAACACAGAGCAAACTTGTTCACCAGCTAAAGATAAGATGCAATCTCTCAGACATTAATGCTTTATTAAAAACTCAACAGAAGAGATGTGGGGTGCTTTCTGTTTTCTTTTATAATAAATATGACAATTTTGCTTTCACAAAAAAAATAACTCCAATAAGCATTTTAAACTTTTAACTTGACTGAAAAAAAGGATAAAGGCAATGGAAGATAGGGAGAGATGGAGAGTTGTGTTACTGTACGTCTTTCTGAAGAGGAGCAAAATAAAATCTAGGATCTAGTTTAAATATTCTACAGGGGGAAAAGGAACATTACAGTAAAAGAATCTGTGATGAGGACAGTACAATCAGCTCTATCTGACTATTGGCAACTATCTCAAAGAATGAGAATCTACAGAAACTGTAAACTTACAGTCTGGAGCTGATCTACTGACAGTGAGCTGGACTGACACTGAGGATTCATGTTTGTTTGTGCTTCTGTATATAAATGATCTTTATTTTTGCATGTATGAGGTTGTATGCGCATGTAAGTGACATGAATGGTGTTGTTTAAAGGCACAGTAATCATCAAAGATAACTTAAAATTCCTTTAGAAATCTCTTCAGAAATAAAAACGACATTGCATCCCTTTTTGTTAATATGTTAAGAATGTGAAGTGTTTCAATTGAATGTCTAGGACTGAACTCATGCCATCTCTAACTGAACCCTTTTCAGACTGAGCCTGATAAGTCTGATGCTGTGTTTACTCAATAAAATCCCTCGATGCCTCCCTGACTGAATTTCAGCGATAAAAAGAAGAACCTGCACCATGACAATTCTCCATAGTAATGAGATTTGACTTCAAGGTTAGATGGATTTCATGCTTCGCTCTTTTTGTGCAAATAAATTACAGTAGGTTGGCGTTGGCTTGAATGTGTGAAACAAGAAAATTGTTAGAAATGGCTTAAAAAATAAAAAAAAAACCCAGTAGCCTCATTATCATTATCCAGACAAAACAGGTCTGAAGGCGCTCGTGTGACTTGCTTGTTATCTTACCTCATGCTTCAGGTCAATGGTGAAGTCAGATTTAAGTGGCTCATCTCTCACTTTGTTTGCAAGCCTACAAAAAAAAAAAAAAATCATAACTTTATTAGCTGAAATATGCAATAAACACAACATATACCTTCCTCGAAATTAGGGAATATGGAATAAGCAACTCTGAACAACTCGGACTTACTGCACGTACTCACCGAACAACAAGGGGGATGCTTAAGGCCCAAGCAGCAGCAAAGTCTGGATATTTGAAGACGGAGGGATTCTCCGCAAAGGCGTAGTGATGGATGATGGTCGACTCCTCGTCATGGAGCGGCTTCCCAAGAAACCACTCCTGGCAAATAAGTTAGAGAGAGACACATTTCAATGCGTTAAAGTACAAGCTGTTTTTCTTTCGGTTAATATATTACAGTGAACTTTCATTAAAAAGGAATTTGAGCTTCTTGTCTAATTTGGGAATTTTTACACTGCACTTGGCAGAAAATCTTCTTTCTTTCCGGTGGGTAGGTTTGTTACTGGCTGGGAAAATAATGAGATTTCTTGACAAAGTTCAAAAGATGCCAGATATTGTAGCCTCAAAGGCTCTCATCATAATTCTTGACACATGTGGAGTAAAAATGATCAGACATTTAGAGAAAATGCTCCAACAGTTAAATGAGGCAAAGTTTAAAGGAACAGTTCAACATTTTGGGAAATATGCGGATCTGCTTTCTGAAGAAGAGTTAAGATGAGAAGATCAACATCACTATCGAGTATGTGCGGTCAGTTTAATGCTACAGCTCGCAGCCGGTTAGCTTAGCTTAGCATCAGCACCTCTAACGCTCACTAACTAACATGTTATATCTAGTTTGTTTAAGCCAAAACCTGAAGCGCTAAAACAACTCTTCACATATGTAGGCTATGTATAATGAAGTCAGGCGAGCTCATGTAGTCATTCTGCTAAAAGCATGTGGTGTTGTTATATTCTATTTTTTTTTATACCAAGAGGTGTTCCTAATATTTTGTCCATGTCATTTGTATCAATCATTTATATCAAGGGAGACCAAATTCAGCTGGATACACTGAAAGAACTGGCAACTGGCTGTAAATATTTGTATCAAGAATTAACGTGCGGTTTGTTTACTGCTGTTTAATACAAACAGAAACACTGTTTCCCTTTCAAGAGTTATATCTGCCAATTAATCAATATATCACAGATGTATCACAAGTCGTACTATTTGTATTTACTGTCACAGTTTAGTTTCTCAGTATCTAATTGCAAATCTGACCACACTGAGCTGTAACACCTGAGAGAAGCTTTCGCTTCAGGGTGTGTTGTAATGAATCAAATCATAAGGTGTTGCATCCATTGTCGCTTCCTCCTCCAGAAAAGGTCGCGGATACTCACACAGGAATGAATTCCACCTCTGATTGGGAATTGAAATACCATGCAAGGTTTAAATAGTTTAAGATGACAGTGAAGTTAGTTTCCATTAATTGAGTTTTTTCTGAGACAGACAAAAGCAAACTTCAGCATTTACTGATAAAAGTAAGTGTTTTTTTCCTCTGCAGGTTTTATTACTGTTTCCCATACATCAATTTATTTGTGGCAGCCCGGCACAATATCGACACTGACTGCCACATATTGATTTTTCACAATTTTTTTTTTACCATTTCAAATGGGCAACATCTTATTTCATTGTAGCTGTGTACAGTGCATTGATTCTCTCAGCCCCTCCTTGCTCTTCTCTCTCTCTCTCTCTCTCGCTCTCTCTGACATATGGGTGAAAGTGTAATTAACATAATTTTTTGCTCTGTTTCACTTAAAAGGCAGCTCAAACTTGTGTTGTGAAGGCTTGATAACAACTACAATTAGCAACAAAAAAGCCACTTTGCTAAGCTTGATTAAGAATCTGAAGATTGGCGCATGAAATATTTAAATGCTTATCTGCCATATGGACTTTTTTATTATTTATTTTTATCTTTATTATGAGTTTTTTTATTATTATTATTAATAGCTCATTTGCTTGTACTGGTAATGCCTGTCTGTGCATATGTATGTTCTCTGTCTGTTATTACCTACTTACCCAAAATTAAATTGCCCTTGTGGATTAATAAGCTGTATTGATTGATTGAAAGAATCTTTTCATTACATCCCAAATGTATGATTTCCTGACTGCAGCGATTATCCAGTATTTATTCGACCTACCTCACCAACCAATATACAAGAAAAATAATTTCATGAGTGGAGAGACAGGGCTTAAATTAGGTCTACAGCAGAGTATGGAGTGACATGTCTGACAGGTTATACTGTGAGCTGGCAGAGATCAGTACAGCTCGGCAGCTGCAGAGGAGCTGGAGCTGACCTGATACTGTATCTCTTAATTGAACTGATGATCAGCTAAGCTGGAGCTTAAAACAGGAAGCTTTGGTCTCAATGATGAATTTGGCAAAGAGAGACATTGCAACAAAGAGACAGAGAGAGAGGAAGAGAGAGAGAGAGAGAGTGGGAGACAGAGAGAGAGAGAGAGAGGAGAGAGAGAGAGAGAGAGAGGGAGAGAGAGGGAGAGAGAGAGAGGGGGAGGTTTAGAAAGAATATTGCATACTTACTTTACTCTTGTCAAATTTTGCAAGGACTTGAACGAGCTTAGTCATCTTCACATTTGTTTCCTCCTCAAGAAATACAATCCAGGATGAGTTTTTCCCAAAAGAGTACGATAAGCTGAGGACACACACACACACAAAAAAAAAAATGGGAGTATCATCAAAACGATCGTTGAATAATAAAACAAGAATAAATGGAACTTTGCCATTCACACACAAACTCTACAAAAGTCTGTCTTTTCATTTCAGTCCAGTCTGAGGAACTATCTAACTGAGGCTCCTGACCCACTCAGATAAAGGCAGGCACAGAGTTTTCCCTAGAGGGCAGAGAGACAAGAAAACATCACAAGCACACAGGCTTCTTTTGAGAGGGATGGGGGGTGGGTGGGGGCTCTGTAGTGGTTTGGGGTGCTTTTGTTGATCTGGGTCCTAAATCTTTACGATGGAAGAAAACGGATTCAGATGTTATTTCTCATTTCCCCAAAACAATTATTGAAAACATATTGGATTTTTGAGAAGGCCCAAGCATGAAGACGACTATAGCGATCGTCATTATCATGCTATTCAGACGGCAGTAATAGGTTTGTTGTCACAGTCATCGGCACATTAGGAAGGCATTTATCATTATGCGAAGCAATCAATCTCAGTTATTGTGTTAGTAATAGCTTCTAAGCGAGCTGTAACTTCAAAACATGGTAAACAAAATATTCTCAAAACTGAAAAGTCCAAAATTTCATCTTGTAGGAGGGACACAATGTGTGGAACCCTTCAGTCTCATTTTTAATCACATGCTCAACCAATCCTGAGAGTTGAGTTCAGGGATACTTACTAAGGCAGCAGAGGAAGGATGCTCCAATCTCCCTCATTATCTGACAGATTGTGAAGAAGTAAAACTGCCGGTGGATTCTGAAAGAAACGCCACACACACCAGAGATAATTTTAATAACCGTACAATAGCTGCACAAAGCTAAAGACAATTAAAGCAGCTTTTCTGCAGAGATGGCTAATGGTTTGATCAATGCTAATGAGCCAAGCCTGCCAGACTGTCCCAGTCTGTCTGGTAAGATCACTATCTCACCCTTACCACTGGTTTTGGATGTTTTAGTCCATTTATTACAAATTGCATATACTGTGAATTAAAGCTAACCACTTTACAATCCAGGCTGGTGTGATTCATTTCTCTATGCAGCCAAACACTTTACTATTCATGTCTCTAAACTATAAAAATCTATTAGCAGACTGTCTAAAGTTGCTTGAGTGGTGTAATTTATCACAGCGAACTGGATCCATTTGTTTTTGTTACTGTTACATTATCATTGGATTATTCTACTTCAGTTTGAAAAATCTGCACTTGCCTGACCTCACAACAGCATTGTGTAACTTTGACAAACATAAGCACAGACTGCAAAGTCAGAAAAGTCAGATAACGCTGGTGATCTTCTATATTCTTTAAAATGTCAACAAATCCCATGGAAAGGCCAGAACCAACAGTAACTCTATCCTACAAGGATTGCCTGTGTTGCTAAAGCCTGATGTGCTATACACTTCCATTGTTGTCCAAAAGCAGATCACTGCTACACTGATATGCTCCTTCAATACGGTCACTGCAGTTTATTTTAATCCCCCATACCCTGTCCTGCTGCCTTAAATATTCTCCAGAGCACCACATTTATTAATTAAAATACACTCCCCCATACATGCACTATTAACATTTGTGGAAGAAATACAGTGCCCTGCTGGTTAATGACATTGTTTGCCTCTAAAAATCATCTTCAGTAGGAATGAGTCAGTCAAGGTAAACAAAATGAAATGTCCTGAGAGAGGGACTAATGCCTGGTTTAGCCTGTTGGATATTTTTGTCTTTCAGATGGTCACTGTATCAGATTTTCTGATCATTCATTTCATTTCTAAATTCTTGCTATTTCTTGGCTGAGAGATAACAGACCCCAACCAATCATAGCTTGCCGTCTTGCACAAATAGATCAATGTTAAAGTGCCGGGGAACCAACTTCACTGGTCCACTTGACAGCATCCACAATGAATGTTTACACATGTAAACACACTTTTATGAATGAAAATGAACCTGGAATCATTCATCCGCCCACTGGTCAGTCAGTAGAGAGACGGCAACTCTGCAGGTGCACAGAAGCTGTGGGACTAGGCGAGAGACGGCTAGTGTTTTTGTTGGGACATTGTGGACATATATCAGGTCAGGTCATTATCACACTCATATTATGTAGTCTGACCCTTACTTTGTTTTTTTTGGATCTTCCTGTGACTGGTCGACAATATGATGAATGTGTAATAATGCCAGCTTTATCCTTTACGGGGATAAAATTTGTAAATACGCTGGTATGGTGCATTTAATCCGATAATGCCCTCAGAGTTGCTGCTCCTGCCTGACCCTTACACCACAACATAAAATTTTGGTAAGACAGAAACACCACCGGAAACAAGAGCAGGATACTTCAGGACATGGACAGTGCACACAATCACGTCCAAATGAGAAGAATCTGTTTCAGCAAAATTTCCCATGGTGAGCCTGGAGAGTGGAAGGTGTGTGAGGATTGTATTGGGGAGCCAATGTTTCACACTGCGAGGAAAAACAAAGCAGCAGAGCGGAAGACCCATTGCTTGATTACTGCATGGTCCACTCATCATGCAGGAAGTCAGAGGGAAACGTCTCCTCTGAGCCGTTCTGTCTAACAGCAGCCTGTTTGATTTAGGCGATGGGTCTGACACTGTTTACACTTATTAAACCCTTTTAGTCAGTTGAGGTTTGTGAGCTCTCATCTAATATGAGTTTAATCTTCAAGCTAATAGCATAATGACACCTACCATGTTTTATTAAACTACTCTCTACTTGACATTCACACCATTGCTGTTACATAAGGGAAAAGTTCAGTAGAAAAGAAGGATAGTATTCCGATAATACAATCTCAAAAATGGAGCTTTTGCTTCTAAGAGCTATTGACATTCTTGTGATAAAGGGGACGTTCAAGAAGAAGAAGAGGCTGGTTCTTTTCATGGCAATTGTGTGCAAGCTGCAGATTCCTAATCAACAGATAAGAGCTGGTCATTGTGTGGACATGCCTGCAACGAATAAGACACTGATTGCTTGGTGACTTGGGAGATGATGGGGGTCACTGAGACCTGGTTGTGATGGAAGGACAGGAAGCTATGCTTTTAAGCACAGGAGCGGCTGGAAGGGAGAGCGAGGGATTGATTGAGCTGCCACCTGTCAAAACTACTTCAGCGATGAGCTGCAGTCAAAAAGACATTTATGATGGCCAGTTGAGCCAAGCCAGTGAAGGACTAATCTATAACTGAAGAGCACATTAAAAGATTTTCATCACAGTGGCTCCTTACGCACGACAAAGCACTCAAAATACATGGTGTACTGGTCCACTACTGAGTTTAATGTCATTCTGTTGGACTGTGCATCTCTGTGGATATGAGCATTGGCTAAATGACAGAGATACTATATAAATGTAGCGTGAATTCCTCCCAGAAGGCAGAATGTCAAGACAGCAGGAACATGGGCTGTGAGCCGCCACATAGAATACACAAGTTCCTATCTGTGTAAATCTGTGAATATCACAAAACCTTCTACAGTCTGACGAGGGCAAAACAAAACAGAAATATCTCTTGTGGGTGAAAAAGGCTCGGCAACAGAAATACTGATCATACATGCGTTTCCTGTCTCGGAGGTGCAATGTGTCATAAAGCTACAAGTTATCAGTGATGTTGGTCTGAAATTTTACATCTTTTGTGACACTAACTCAGCTTTATACATTCAAGAACCTATAGCAATGCAATGCTTTGGATCACAATTCTGGTCATTCTTTCCTTCTGACCTACAGAAAAGGAAATCTAAAGACAACTGGTTAACAAGAGTTTATCCTAAACCTGAACCATCTTTCTTGAATAGGAATAAAAATCAAAGCTTGTCTTAGTTCTCTAATGTCTCTGCTGTCTTTCTGTATCTCAAACCTGTGTTGGGCCTCAGCACACTCAAAATAGTGGGTGAGAATAACCTTTCCTTTGTTCCAAAGACAGAGGAGGGCCGTTGAACTCCCAGGATCCTTTGCCTTTTCACACCTGGGTGCTACTGGTCCAGCTACTACTGGTCACTGTGCGACCTAAAATACATTATGTCACCAGGTCAACAAAACCTCTGTCTCCCCTGCTCTCCTCTCTCTCTTCTTCACCCCAGCTGCAGAAGCAGCAACAGCTCCCCTTCTCTTCACTGCTCCCACAGGCGCACCAACAACAACAACAACTCCTCTCTTCACAGCTCTCTTCTCCGCAGGCCAGCTCGGAGCAGACTGCTGCACTGCACTCTGTCTCAACGGCACGACACGAGAGCCTGCATGAGATTAATCAAGGGTGAACAAGTTTAAATTAGTGCCTGTGGCTACGACACAAAGTCTTCCAGCTGATTTTTACAAGCAACAGGAGCCACAAAGCAGAGGTAGCATCGAGTGGCTAACTCTGTAAGAAGAACAAATGAGCGATGAGTGATCTCAGAGAAAGCCACGTAGACAGACTGGCCTACCCCCCCCCCCCCCCAGGAAGCCACACAAGCCTGCAGCTCACTGACTTTAAACAAAGCAGCACGGTGGAAAGGACCCCCCACCCCCCTCTCCATGGACTGGTAATGTTAACTGGGCCTAGTGTAGCACACAGCCCGGCTAAGCTATGGACTGTTTAACTCTCACAGTGTTTTGTATTGATTTGGTTCAATGAATTCCCCAAGCTTGGCTTCTGTGATGTCTGTTTACAATTTGGTTAACCTTTATCCTACATGAACTGGCCTTAAACAAAGAAACACGTTCTCTCTATATCCCACATGGCTTGCGGTCCCAGCGGCCATCTTTGATTCCACCATCTCATTTATACTTTCCTTTGCTTAATCCATGTGGTCCCAGCTGGCCATCTTTGATTTTTTTTTTTTTATAATTTTGTTTGCTTCCCTTTCACAGTGCCATTTTGAGTCGTCCATTTTGTCTTTATTGTCTGTATGTTAAATCAGACAACTTCTACCTCCTGTAGCGTCGGTGGGATCACAACAGCGGCTCAGCACGCGGCATGTACAGCTGTTCTGTGATTTTTAAATTAAAAAAATAGTGTGTGAGTGTTACCCTCAATATGTCAGACTGTTTTGTAAAACCTGTACACAACGTTTTACTCACCCAAACATATGTTGCTCTAAAACATTTTCAAGTTTACATTTTGTGTTGTGAAAACATGGATTAAGGTGTATGAGGGTAAAGTCGACCATGGAATGCTTGTTAGAGCAACACTTTTAGAGAGATAACAATTCTTATTTCTTTCTGTTTTATTGAGGATGACAGACTTGTAGGTCAAAGATATGACCAACAACAGCATTAGTTCTTTTACAATAACAAACTCCTGAACTAAACAGTTTTTACAGCTTTCTCTCTCTCCAAAATTAAATTATAGTGTTGGTGCCCATATGTAAAAAATGAGCTGCCAGAAGGAGGAGATCAAATAAATTCCATCCCCGTTGGCAGAGAGAACCATGGGAAATAACAGATCTGAAGTTCTAAGAATAAAAAAAATCTGTTTTGGGCCTCCAACCTCTGCACTGCAGAACTCCAAATCCTTCAACCTTTACAAGCTATTGATGCTGTAATTTTGGTTGTAGTCATTAAGTTAATTATCAATCTGTTTCAATTTTATATCTAATATATTTTATGACACTGAATCAGTGAATTGGCTATTCTCCGTTATTCTCCATTTTCAAGGATGGTACCCCCAGGTGGATTTAGTGTAAATGAAATCCTATTACTTAATGTAATTATTTATCATCTCTGATAGCTATAACTGATAAAGTATTCTACCAAATCCCAAACACTGGATTTCATGATATTTTCAAGATATTGCAGGCCATTATGCAAAGCTTTCCAATGGCTATGTGCCAAAAACTCACTGTACATCAAACATGTTTCTACAAACTGAGCAGATCTCCTCCGTTTGATCTCTTTCCTTCAGCATCACAGGAACACCCTCTAAGAGTGTTAAATGGCAGAATTATAAGCTTTTGCATGGTGTGCCTCGGAGGTGGGACTGACGTGGTGGATGGCTGGTTGTAACTCATTTTTTGCTAAAGAAGTTGGGGGTGGTAGTAAATAAGCTAAATGGGAGTTTAAATCTTATCTATATACTCTGATGTTACTAAAGCAATCAGTTTTATGCATCCAATGTATTTATTTGCTGCATTTTTACTGTGACATCCAGCACCAACAGAATCCCATGGTTAAGAAGAAGTTTTTCACAACAGTCGGTAATTGTTATCTTAGATTCTTAACTTATTTCCAGGCACATGAGTGTTTGTAACTATGTACATTATGATGCAGTTCTATAGAGGAGGATTTTTTCCAAAATTTAAATATAAAATTAAACAAAGAAATAAAACAAAAACAAATGAAGTATTATTATGTTGTATTAAAATGGGAAATAAAACAGAAATGGCCAATGGATATTGTGAAAATGCAAAGTGCAATTTAAAATCCTGATAATGAAAAATACTACATGCAAAAGCGTAAATTGGAAAGTGCAATGGAAAAGGTTAAAACATAAATAAGAAAATTGGAAAGGGAAGATAAACTTTCAATATATAAAGTTATCATTTGTTTTTGTTTTTCCATTTTCCTCTCTCCCTTTACTGCCCTTTTCAATTTTGGCATTAAATATTTGGCTTTTCATGATGTCTAAATCAGATCTTTTACTCTGGGTAAGATCATCCTCCATACTGATCCGGATTCAGATTCAGCTACTTTCTAGTACACATCACTCACTCTCCTTTCATTTTCTGTTCTATCAACATTTATTCTGTGCAGATAACTTATCTTGATCATGAGTTTGGTCTTATATCGTCTTGAAAAGTTCTCCAGTCTTTACTGCAACCTGTTTGAGAAGTTGCGAAATAAACTTTTCCTCAGACTTAGTTTGTGTAATCGCATGTAACAGATACAAAAACACCAGACATCTCTGAGATCATAAATCCAAATACAACATGATGTGGTATTCATTAAGTCTGCCTTGTCTTATAAAATCTGATGTCCATTAGTCTAACTATTTTTTTCATGACAAATCTTATCTACCAGCAAATATTGATGCCACTATTCATTACAGGAAACAGGAAAAAAACCTTTCCAAATTGTGGACAACCAGAAAATCAAAACTTGTGCCCCAAAACTTTGACTTGTCAGATGTTATTATTGATAATACAGTATATATGGAATTACCTTCAAATCACGGTAACAGTGCTAAGCAGAGAAATAATGACTCACTTTGATTATTTATATATTTTTCTCTGTCAGTTTGGGACAGTCAGTAAATAATGTAGACAAAAGGCGCATGGCATCCAGCAGTGGAGGAGACAAAGACAACAATAACATATGAACCCAAATAGAAGATCTAAATTGGTCTCTTGGTAGAGGAAAAACAGCAAGTTTCAGCTAATTTACTGTAATATTGTCATTAGTGATGCTGCATTCCCTATTTAACCAAACGAAATATAAGTAATGTATTACACCACATTTCATCCAGCTCTGAGGAGATTTAATGAGCAGAAGCATGAGGCATTTTGACCTGCAAATGTGCTCTCTGTCTTCCTATGACATGATCCTCATGTAATTTGTAAAACTTCAGTGAGCCCATGAAATGACGAGTTTATTTCCCTGGAGAAAGTATATATTTTCTTTTCCTGAAGCCTTTTTTTTGTGAAAATCTGAATTATAAGCAGGAATTACAATATTCATTAAGATGAACATATGCCTTTGGATGATCATCACGTCTCATTAAAAATTGAACAGAAAGTGGCCAGAAATGGAAAGTTGACTTGTTGAGTAGAGCAATACATATCTCAACATCAAAGCCGCACAAATGTCTGGATTTCCTAAATCCATAAAATTATAAGTAAGCACACGATTTGATGTCGCAAGGAGCTGAGAATGTTGCATATTTTAAACTACACTTTCATATTTTGGACTTGAATGTACTTTAGAAGTTTAATCTGGAGGGTACCATGAATAATTCTTCATACCATCATTCAATATTTAAAGTTATGAGTACTGAGTAATAGTGTAATAAATGGAAAACACTTGGCAAAGCTCCATGTCTATTTAGTCAGATCATGCCATATGTACTTTTTCCCCAATTGGATTTCCAATTAAAAAATTTAAAATACTTGACTCATTTTTAAAAAAAATCTGTGCTGACACCATGTGGCAACATATACAGTTTACAACAACTCATATATTCAGATGTGACTTTCGCTGCTAGTGATGATCACCACCAACAAGTACTTCCACTAAAATGTAAATACGCTCGTCATATGGCAAAATAAGAGCATGTATGTATGTTGGTGTGAGTGAGAGGTGGCTTGAATCTTACCTCTGTGAGACTGTGCGCTTGCTTGAGTAAATCTGCTCTCTGTCTTTCTGCCTGTCTCACATGGAAGTAGTTGCTTTGACTCTGGATGATGAACACTATCTCCCGCAGGTCTGGGGGAATACAAAGGACAGAGATGAGAGACTGCTCGCATGCTGTGAAAAAGGATCATGCCAATCGATGACCTTCTGAGAGCAAGGCAAGATAAGAGTCACGGTCTGAATAACTGAGGTGACTTTTTGCTAATCTCCGTTATTGGTCTGGTTGTAATAACCAGCACATCAAGAGCTTAATTGGCTTGGGGAGAGAGTATGTAAATGTCACAGCCCAGACTGTGTGACTTAATAAAAGATTAACAGTCAGAGGAGTCTTTCTCCGAGGTGCCGTAACACCCAAAAGGTTGACATAGCCCAGCTGTCTACTTCTGGCTGAGCGACACAACTGCATTAATGGTAGAACTCATTATCGCCACTGCATGTGAAGGCCAAGGTTAACAAGCAGACACAAGCTCAATAATGTCTGTTAAAGAACTGCTAATTCTGGCTGCTTTAATGCTGATGACATGTTTAGATACCATCTTTGTCATTGACCCAAGCGAGCTGCAGCTCCTCTTCATGTGAAATCCATTTACAGGGCAGTAATAGTGACACAGCTCAGTGAATAACGACATTGACTGCACAAACAAGTCCACATAAACCCTGTGGCTCTCACGACCAGTACAATCAAAACTAGACCGATGGACCTGGGGCGAGGACAATATAAAAAAAAAATCTGTCATTTTGTCTTTGGCTCTGTACAATTACATTTGACAACTCCTAAATCCTGTAAGCTGTCCCTCACATCAAAATAAAGTCTGCAGTACCTGGCTGGAATCACTGTGACAACAAAGGATTTCAAGGATTTAGGGCTGAGAAGCAGGAGCCAATGTCCAGGTGTGAAGTAAGAAGAAAAGAAGAGAAGTCAGAGTTTTCCTGCTATGACAGGCAGCTCAAAAACTTTGCAGCAATGAGATGTGCAGGCCTTTTTGTGTACACGTTCCTCTTAATTTGAGCTCAAACAAAGATAACAGGCCGTGTGCCAAATAATTCTCACTTGCTTTAGACATTTTAATTACCCACCAAAGTATTTGTACAGAATACTGTCATAGAGGGAATACCATGACATAAATTAGGATTACCAAAAGCTTTGCAAAATTAGCTGACTAAGAGTATGTTAGTGTTTAAAATCATAAATAAGTAACAGCCACTGCTGACAGGTCTGTAATTTTCCCTTTGGAATAGTTGTGTAAAAGCAATACCACAATCACCGCCTCGCAGTTGTTTGCCTCGGCCAGCCTGCCAAGTTGCAGGAAATATGGTCACAATCTCCCCTTCCTGAGTGACAGCATTGAATAAAAGTAAACATTATGATGTCACAGTGAAGTTGTCCTATTAGACAAGACATTTGTGTTAAACTGTGTCATAATCAGAGTAAGAATTTGTGAGTTATGGCCTCAGTGACCTTGACCTTTTGCCACCAAAATCTAATCAGTTCATCTTTGAGTCCAAGTGAATGTTTGTGCCAAATTTAATGAAATTCCTTCTGTGCACTCCTGATGTATCAAATTCATAGGTGAGGTCCCAGTGACCTTGAACTTTTTAACTTTTGCCCACCAGAATCCATATTGATTAATATTTGAGTCCAAATGGACTTTACTGCCAAGTTTAATGCGATTCCTTCAAGGTGGTCTTGAGATATCACATTCAAGAGGCCAAAAACATGTTTTGTGAGGTCACTGTGACCTTAACCTTTGACCACTAAAATCTTATTAGTTCATCCGTGAGTCCAAGTGAATGTTTGTGCCAAATTTAAATAAAAATGTATTACTTATTATTATTATTAGTTACTGAGATATCATATTTTTACGAGAATGGGCGGACGGATAGATAGACGGACAGCCGTGCAAATGGACAGACATACGTACAGACACGAGGATGTACGGACGGACGGACAAGTCGAAAGCATTATGCCTCCAGCTCTGGCTCTCTCCGGCGAGGAGGCACAACAACAAAGAGAGGGGAAGGGCGAGTGCTGACAACGGCAGGATTAGATGAATTGCCTCCTCCTCAATTACACTACTTGAACCTATTTCCTTCCTGGGTTCAGATATTAGCACCAGGGTCAGGGGTAGACACTATGTCAGAGTACAGTATCTGTGTCGGATCTTTTTAATTAAGTGTTGGTGGGTGTGTCGCTCCTTTGCTACGCTCATAACAGAGACCCCATTGATCCTGGAGCCGTGGTGAGGGGGTGGATTTACTTGCTAAATCTCAGCATGTCCATCTCCCAACAGATCTAACCTCTGCCTAGAGCCCAGCTTAGAGAGCGAATACCACTACACCACCTCTAAATGTCCTTCTGCTGAGTTTGCTAAATGAATGACTATGTATGTGTGTGTTGTACGTGTGTGTGCATTTGGTTGGACATAAAGCAGTGCATTTTAAAGCCCCAGGTGATCCTCCTGATACTGCACAGTACAGCAATAATACCAGCTGCATGAGACTAACAGCAAAATCAGATAAGCAGTTTGCCAATCCCTCATTGTGTAGATAATGCGTACCCCATGTCAAAGCAAAGGAGAATGAGGGGTAAAAAAAGAAACTAATTAAGACTGAATTCACTGGCCTTGGCTCCACACTAATGGGTTTCGATTAATCATCAAACAACGGGGAGAAAAGGGGAAAAGGAAAAATCCTGTTACAGCGCTGTTCTTCCTTCACCTCCATCATTCCCTGTGTCCTTCTCCTCTCAGGTAGAAATCACCTTTGTGCACTCCCTTGGCACTCATGGCAGACAGAAGTGTGCAATGAATATGTCTACCTGTATTTAATTATACAACACATATTTAAAACAGTGTCTTTGACGCCACTGATGCCACAAAGCACGTTAGTATTGAGATTATCCAATGATGCCTCCAGGCTGGGAGGAATATTAATTTATATTTTCAGAAGAAGATGTACATGGATTGCACCAGCACTGTAAGTGACTGCTAATGTTTGGGAGACAGGTGGCTTAGCTGTGGTGAGTGGTGTGGTTGCTAGGGTGTTGGTGGATGCTTGATTGGATAGGAGACAGCTACACAGTTGCTAGGAAATTGTGGTACTTGAGTGTGTCTACTCTCAGTGGTCTTTAGGTTGTTGTGCCATTTGAGCAATGAGAGGTATTTCAGGTGTTCAGAGGACAGCTTCAGAGCTTTTGCTGCTCGTATATATATATATATGGGAAAGAGTCCTTAACATTGAGAGAAGGTGTACATCTTTAAAAAGCATCATTAAACCCAGTGGTTTTCTTTTCTTTTTTTTTTTTGGACTTTTCAAACTTAGAATTAAATTTGTGGTGCACATTCTCGTGCTAGCAGCATGGTTGTAGGGTCCCCATGGTCCCAGAATAATGAATCATATACATTTTTCCACCAAAATTGGCAGGTATGAGCAGGTTTTTTAACCACGGGTAAACTTGTTGATAAAAGCTCATTGACCCCTTTTCCACTACCAGTCGAGTTTGCCTTTCTGTTAGGCCTGAGGACACACAACGGCAAGGAGTGGTGTTATCACATGAACTTACAGAGCACACACACTGACGCAAGGGAGAAAGAGTGAACTGCTCACCGCCGTGAAAACTGGTAAAATGGAACTGTCATGTCTCATCTCCGGGGTTGGTGCTCCCGTAAAAGTGAGATGCTGCGATTGGCGATTGTGTGTTATTTATTTATTTAGAGAGAGAGGATATCCAGGGAGAGAGAGATAGGGGGATGACGTACAGCAAAGGGCTGCGGGTCGGACTCGAACCCATGGCCGCTGCTGTTAGGGCTAAGCCTTAATGGTACGAGCTCTACCAGGTGAGCCAAGGCGCCCCCGCAGTTCACTCTCTCATCCCTGAGCGCAAGCTAGCCGCAGTGTTTCTGGTGTAACAGCTGGGCAGGTGACAGGTGTGTCTTCAGTGTGTGTGCTCTGAAAGATGTCACAGCAGGAAAAGGGGTGAAAATTAGCAGGTTCACCCGGGTGTTGTGTTTACATCAATGCCGATCGGAGCCAGAGCCGATAAATACCTCCATCTACTGCAGACTCATTTGACCCGGGTGTAAATGCCGATTACACCCTTTTACACTGCTGACAAAAGCCTGATGTTAGCGGGTCTTAGCGGGTTTTTTTAACCAGTGGAAAAGGGGGCTATACTTTGTTGATACCCTGAAGTTTCCTCTACCACCGTCATGAGATTCACATTTGTTGTTTCTTAGTGAAATGACAATGTCAACAACAATTGCATGGATTGCTATTAACTTTGGTACAGACCTTAATACCCCCCAGCATGAATACTAATAACTCCTTCCTTGACAAATTCCAATGTGTCTAATGCTTTGGTTAACGACTAAATATCAAATGAAAGAGGGTTACAGAGGATTTGGTTAACGACTAAATAACAAATGAAAGAGGGTTACAGAGGAGATGAAGCCAAAGCCCCGATCACCTTGGTACAGACGATTTTATTTTTGCCAGACCGATGGAACTAGAAAGCATGAGTGTAGTGTTCGCTTATCTCGCCTCACTTCTTCTGTATTCCATAGAGGCCACTCCACAAAAAAAAAAAAAAAAAAAAAGACAGTATCAGCCTTGAAATATATTGGTTGAAATGAGACACAGGAGAATTCTGCCTCCTTCTCTCTCTGATCTGATGCTTTTCTCAGAGCATGGAGCCACTCTTTAAAGGCCATCACCATCTGGTCTATGGGCAAACTCTGTGCGAAGGCTTTGAGTGCTGTGTGTACTCACTTCCTCGCCGTCTCTGCATATAAGAGGGGAGAGGATCAGACTGATTAAAGAATCAAGGCTGGTAAACTAAAATGAGTTAGTATTCCTAGGGGTGCGCACACACACACACACACACACACACACACACACACACACACACACACACACACACACACACACACACAAACACACACACACAGGATGGTGTAGTAAATATCCGCACTTGAGTGTAGATTGTGTGCTGTCGTAGTGGCGTGGCCCTGCAGTGTTGTCACCTCATTGACACAAATCAATAGTGACACTTCCTTAGAGCAGGATGGCAGACG